GTGAAAATAATATTATGTAGTTACATCTATATTATCACATAACATGTTATTCTCGACACTACTTGTGTTCGTTAGATACGTCTCGTTACGGTTCGCAAAAAATTGCATTAACATTCATCCACGATCTGAATCTAAAGACGGAAATAGAATTATTGACGTTAGGTGCCATGGAATTCAAGGGATATCTTTCCGGAATAAAATTACTTGACATCTTTGAAAGCAGCACCGGGAAACAAAGCAATAATATACAGTCTTAACAGTAGATTGGATTAATTACTAAAAAAAATAGTTGTCGAATACACAAACAATAATTTGAAGGAGGAACAGAGGCCTACCAGATGACGAATGGGTAAAAAATATAACTGAGGAATATCTCAATATTAATGTACTGAGCTCCCATATCTGGGGTGGTGCTTCTCCATCTCTTATAGCTGTTGTAGACAATGTGCAGTCCAAATCAGTCAGGCTTATTGGGGATGAATCTCCCACTTTCTCATGAGCTTAAAATCTACCATGCCTCCACTATTGTTCCCTGCTCACTCGATCGACTCGTACTAATCAGCAGATAGGCCTATAGAACCTACTGTTTTAATCCCTTTGTTAGCACTTCCTCCCACTCGCGCTCGGCATTCATCGTCCGGAACTTCGATTCTCTGGAATTCTCTCCCATCTTCTTGTTTCCCATCATAATTTAACCTCAGGATTTTCAAAAATTTCATCAAAACAAGTCCCTCTAACCTAGCCTAATGATAATTTCTCCTTTGCAGGGCGGTCTTGTTAATATGTTTCCTTTTGTCCTGCATCCTCTAATACTTCTTTTATGCTCAGATATTTCAAATTTAGTCCTATATTAAGTAGGCCTAATTGCTTGCGTGTATTAAATTCACTTCTACAATTTCAATATGCTACTTTAAACAAACGTATAGTTCCGGCCTTGTATATTGTGCACTTTTATTATCAAAACCAGGCCGTATATACATTAATTTTAGTTGTTTTTATTTGCAAGTAAATTCTTAAATCTTAGGATTTGAACACTTGACCTGGGATTGGAAAGTATCTTAACCACTAAATCATACAGCTCCACTTCTTCTTCCCTTTAAATTGATTAATGTACTGTTTTGGAGATTTCTACCTGTACAAAGCTGGAAAAGCAATAATGCGAATACAGTACCGTAAAACCTCGAATCGACCCTTTTATGAACCTTGGATGCAATGCCGTATAGCCAGGATTTCCAAACAGTGTGGAACAATATCAGGTGGACCCACTTTACGCGTAAATTCAAACAATGTGGACCCATTTTACGCAAAAATATGTAAAATCTGGACCCATTTTCTTAAATTTTACCAATTTTAAGATAAATATGAGAAATCTGGACTCATTTTTCAAAAAGTAAACCCATTTTATGCATAAAATTACATACTTTAGAACCAATTTTAAAAATGTGGAAACATTCTTCGTAGACCCATTAGAAAAATTGTGTGGGACTGTCCCGATCAATGGCGGCTCTAGGATATATTTTCTGGGGCGGGGGCTAAGTTGTCCGACATGGGGACTTGAGCTAGTAGGCTTGAACTGGGGAAAGGGATTGAGAGGGGGGTTCACCCTCCCAAATGAAATTTTTTTTAAGAAGCAACCTCTGGGTGGCCAGAAATGGCACTCTCAGACTGTGACAGACATGTGTTGGCTTGGTGTGGGCCTATTTTTATATGTTTTATTGTTTGACTGCCCGACGAGCTCTGTCCGGCGGGGAGGGGGAGGCTTGACCTGGCCGGTGGGGGACTTAAGCCCCCCTGTCCCCGCTTGCGCCGCCACTGGTCCAAACTGTCCAATAGCTGGCCACGGCATTGCTTGGATGGGCTTCTTTTCGAGATGGGTTTCTTTTTGAGATTACCTTTGCAAATTAAAGAGGGGCTTCTTTTCAAAATGAATGTTTTACATTTTGGAATTTCTACTATACGAAATTTTTCAACTATGGAATCCGAAATTTTGTATATATATATTTAAAATTTTAACTATGCTAGTACAATAAAATAATATTCATATTGACACGCTATTATAATCAAAGATAACGTCAGCCTGAATGTAATGTAACTATCTCGAAAGAAGCCCATATTATCTTAATTAGAAGCAAATGGGCATCTTCGTGAGATTACTTTTGCAACCTGAAGAGAGAGAGAGGGGGGGGGGGAGGGGCTTCTTTCGAGAGGAGCTATTCTTCTCGAGATTAATCTCATGGGGCTTTTATTCGAGGTTTTACGGTTTGTCAGTCTGAATGCTCGATCCTACGCGCTCAGCTTGATATTTGATTGCTAAAGGAAGCACTGTATATATTTATGCAATTGTTACGCCATACCGTATATTGAAAAGTTATAAATAATTAAAGAATCAGTCAATATACTACGGCAAAAGACAGTGAACTAAACTTAGCTTAAAATATTTTGGTAAGTCATGGTAGTGAAAATTATAAATTTAACTCCTATACAACTGGAAAATATCAGTTTATTTCAAATAGTTGTAATGATGAATTGAACTTGACTTTTGAAATGTATTTATAAAATACACAAATTAATTATACAGGTATTTTGCAGTAGCTTGAATTAAATTTAGTGTCAAATATTTTGGAATGTCATGGTAGCGAAAATTATAAATTTAACTCCTACACCTGGAAAATATCAGTTTATTTCAAATAGGTTTAATGATGAATTGAACTTGACTCTTGACATGAATTTATAAAATATACAAATTAAAAATACAGGCATTCACAGTAGTCTTAATAATGTCATTTATCATTGCTAAGCTGTCGAGTTTAATTTAGCTGGTGTTGAATGCAGTAGCACAGTTAAATTTGAGCAATTCTCCTGACGTCAACTAACACTTTAGTATCATAATCATATCATAATTGTCATTTATATTGCGCCTTTTTCTCGCGGATGTAAAGCCCTTGTATCAAGCTATAACTGTTGTAACTGTGCGTGTTGTATACTAAGTTGTACCAGTATGTTATCTATAAATGTAAATATGAAATAAATGATAAGGAACGATATGATATTGGTTATTATCAAAAGCAGTAAACCACCTTTTTTTAAAGTATTAAATGTAAATAAAGCCGCTTGGAGAACAAAACGCAAACAGCATTTCACTCAACATATTCATTCTAGCATAGAGTGATATTAATATCCGTAACATCATCGCTCTTGTGCATTATATTCAGTGTAGGATGTTGTACAATTTTCTTTATATAGGCCTATGATTAAAATCACGATAAAGAATGGTTTGAATGCAGAGCTGTCATGTATAAAGGCTGTCCTTTGATTTCTCGTTATATACACAGAAGAAATTTATTAAATTATTCATCAATCGCTACCATTGACATTCAGCAATGCTTCATTAACCAAGGCTGATAAATTAACTTAAATCGAGTCAATGAAAAATACAACAAAAACAAAACGTTAACTAGAGACTCGGGAGTTAGGTTGTATGCAATGTAAGGTATACATGGTCATGTCAAAATTTTAATTAAGACTGAAAATATAATAGAACATATCACATAAGACAAATATTTATTTTTCCAGTTTCGACACGTAAATGTCAGTAAGGTATTCAACGATTACAAATGATACAACACGATTATATTTACAACAGTGTTGTATAACTAGCAATTGCGGAAACACACTGCGTGAGTCTTCAGTGATGCGCAAACAAATACCTATATAGGCCTATATACATTAATTTTACGTTTCAAACTTCACATTAAATCACGTTTACATTAACGCTGTGCATTTCGCTTGTATCCTTGAGCAAAGCACTTTATCTACATTGCTTCAGTCTACCCAGCTGTATCAATGGGTACCAGCAAAATGCTGGGAGTAACCTGAGTGAACCAGCGTCCCATCCAGGGGGAGTATTACCCTCTCATCCGCTTCAAGCTACTTGGGATAAGCTCCAGCAAGGAGTTCGGCTAGGATTTACTTGCACTGCATTTACGTTACTGTAAATTGCAATTCATTACACTACACGTCCACACCACATTGCACTAAACTACACTACACGACAATACACTACTTTACATTATAATACATCAGGCATATACATTATACATACAACACATTATACATGCATTCCATTACACATTATACATTTTACATTGAATAGCATCACATATACTATAATTTCATAATATCTAAATGTTGTCGATGAAATCGATTAAAATATTCACCGACCTCTGACCGTTGATCTTCCTCAATGGTTCATCAACCAAGGTAGTTAAGGTATTAATTTGAATTGAGTCAGCGAAACATATTGTACAATAAAACGTTTCGTTGGCGAGGGATGCAATGCATGTACACATGATGTGGTCATGCCATCAGAATTTAGGTTGCTGAATGTATAACAGTAGAACATATTACTCAAATTTATACAAATCGAAAGAAAATTTATTTTACAGTTACGACACGCAAATGTCAATAAAGCATTTAACGATTACATATGTCATGGCTATATACAGTAGTGTTTTGATTTTAACAATGGCTGAAACACGGCGTATAGGGACTTGGTTTTATCGTTTTTTGATTAAAAGCAGAAAAGTATGCAGAAGACTTTCTGTACGAGGGAGAGAATTCTGGGAGTAAAACAATTTAATGCTGAAAAGCAGAAAGGCGATACAAAATATGTCAACGGTTAGAGATGTAAAGTCTAGGGACTTGGTATTATTTTTGTTTAATCAACTAGGGCCTCGTTACTTGACCACAAAAGTGATGAGGTGATACAACAAACTCCAGTAGATTATGAATCCCTTTAATTTCAATTGTTAACGAGTCTGACGTGACTATAGTGTTCAAATTAGGCAGGCTGAGTAGCATCCTAAACACAATTATCAATAAATATCTATTAGTATATATATATATATACATATACATACATATATATATATATATACATATATATATATATATATTTGTTTAACGCAATTTCTAGTTAAAATGTGTTGTTAATCTTCAAGCTATCCGAATGATATTCACTGGACGATCATCCGTGTCATGGAAGGAGATAGAACCAAGAGGGAAATCAAAAGAGCTCATCTATTACGCGTCCGGTGAGGAGTACTTCAACGAAGGTTTGACCATATTTGGAAGCGGTGAGTGTGATTTCTTGGAGGTATTCGTTCGATAAAATCTGACGTTATTTACAAATGGTAAATTTGATTAACGTATTTTGTAATCGAATATCAATGTGAGTATCCTTTGTATCTTTATATTAATTTCAATAAATACATTATATAAAATTCAAATGAGGATATATTTTATTTGACATGCAAATGATATTATATCATCTTTTTTTTACCTTAACACAAAAGAGTGCTTTTGAATTAGATTTCTATTGTCTACATGCAATAGGCCTATTGTTGATTTGCTTCCCGAGTCTGCACAATACAACACGTATACAAATACAATACCTATATACACATGAATTGAGTGGTAGAAAGTGTTTATCAGTACCGGTATGCCACAATTAAATCCCATTTTTCTCAACTAGAATACTGCGTGTTTTGTGCACATTACAATGCCTACACGAGCCAACGCCTTAATGTCCCATTCGAAGGATGATATACCGTACTTCAAGTACGAGTATGAAATATCATATTGCAGGGCAAGGAAATGTCATGCTTGTATTGTAATTTAAATGACTGTAAACTGTTCACGTGTAAACGGTTCACATATTATCACAAACACGCATTGATCATGCCTTAGAATTGCAATTATCCTGAGTGGGTCACCTCATAGGTATGCACGCGTCCGCCGAGCGATACTGGGAAGCGCAGATATCACGTAGATACACGGCACTTTAAAACAACGGTGTCTAGTCTAGAGTGTGGCACCGTACGCTATCTCGGTGAAAGAAGGTTAGGGTTAGCAACAGCTCAGGACACTCGGGACACATTATTACGAGATGGTACTTCACCGACATACAACTATTAGATACGAAATGATTGCAGATTGTGTTTTAGGGCAATATAATTGCGTTCACCGATGTGGGTATCCTAGAATTTATAAAAAATTATATCATAACTGGAAAAAAAACTGAAAAAATTGATATATTATGATTTTACTGCAATTTATGCCCAAAAAAATAAAATCGAGTATGAAGGAAGAGAATTTGAAGTTTAATATATCATCGAATGTTGCTTCTTAGCTCAACAGCCGTGATCAAGATCATGAAAACAGTGTGCCCTACTTATACTGTACAACCTGTCTCTTATACACATCTAGATGTGTATAAAAGAAAGGTAAATACAGTGTTCGAATAATAGACATAATAATACATCGTGCTATAGCTCTCAACAAATGTAGTCCTTTGATTATTTATATATAATTTAACAGTGTTAACGGCTATCATGATTTATATTATATTATATTATATATATGTATATATATATATATGATGTGATTTATTATATATATACATATATATATATATTCTATTGCAATAATTTGTTTATTTGTACATAATCCACTTGCTTCCTCAGATGTATCGGATATTGATGGCGAGGGCAAGGAAGAAGTGTTATCACTCTCTGAGGGATGTCACATATTCACATTCAAGTTTACACTCCCGAGTAAACCACTAGCCTGTTCTTTCGAAGGCGATCTTGGTAATGTTAGGTACACAGTTCGCGCGATTATTTCACGCCCTTGGAAGTTTGATCACGTAACAAAACGCGCTTTTACTGTTACAGGACCGCCATTTTTTCTGAGTCGAGTTCCAAAAGCATTAGTGAGTATGTACAATATAATACTATTATTACTAAATCTAAAAATGACAATAATTGTAATAATAGCCATAATAGCCTAATCAACATGATTATATAGTACTCTTTTACTAAGCTGGTCATATTATTGAACATTATAATTAAAAAATAACAATACGATTATGGTAATAATGATGTGATTATGATTATGATAATAATGTGATGATGATCATGATTACGATAGAGATAAGAATGATGAAGATGTGGTGCATATTTATGTACATTTAAAAATCATGTATTTTATAAATTTTCATTAATATGTTAAAAACTATAATTAACAGTGCAGTACTTATATTAGACTCCTTTAACAGTTGAAGATGAGAAGACTGTTTGTTGTTTATGTTGTGCGACTGGACCAATCTCTATTAGCGCCGCCACCGACAAACGGGCATATCTTCCGGGAGAGTTTATCTACGTGTCAGCCTCATTGGAAAACATGAGCAGCAGAAGTATTATTAGTCTTGAAGCGGAGCTTATTCAGGTTCGATATAAAGAAATAAAACTTTATAGTGACTAGTGCAATAAGAGTGTTATGGGAGATTGTAGCATTGGTCATTCCATTTTGTCGTTCAAAATGCTTAAAATGAGGGCGTATAGTTAACACTGTTAATAGCTACGGTATGCATCGAGAACTAGCGTTGTTCCAAGCAAGTGCAATTGTGTGAAATTCAGTTGCTTAAATCGGATTCGGATTCCAAGCGAAGCCAAATGGCTCAGTTTTCAATGCGTCTGCATATTTTCAACCACAAAAATGGTTTGAGCTCCCTCAATGATTTGATTGAATTAAATCATCGTATTATTGATGATTGATGATTTGTATTATAGCAGGTTCTATCAATGTCAGTAGTACATTTTGCAGGTACTGTAATATAAATGAATGCGTTGTAGTAGAATTGCAACTGTCCCAAATCATTAGAGGAAAAATCATTCAATTTTTATAAATAATGCATCGTTTGAATTTTATGAAAATGTTTCGATAATTCATGAGGAGTCTCTTTTTCTTTTTATTTATCCATCCAACTCATTTCCCTCAGTCAGTTAACTACTTAGCCCTCAGACAAGGGGTTGGAACGCCACACAAGAGAACTACGTCACATGTCGTCTCCAGCATCAAGGATAATGGTTGCGATGCGCACTGTTCCGCCACGTGGAATCGGGCCAAACTGCCGATACCGCCACTTCCACCTTGCTCACTTGAAGGTGCAACGTTTATAGATATTAGATATTTCATAAAGGTAAAGACAGATCATATATTAGGGTTCGTTCGTATGTTGTAAGTCTATACTTTTTTTGTATCATCATCAATTCGTCAATATCGTCGTTATTATCACATTTTTCTTCTAGTAAAACGAAACAGTTTATCAAAGATTATTATTATCAAAACCATTTATACAATATTTTATCATCATTTAAGAAATAAATCGTCCGAAATTAAAATTAGAAGATCAGATGACAGCCTACATTATGAGTACTTATATTGTATGTTTTAATTATTGTTAATTTTGTTATCGTTATTATTATTATTATTATTATTATTATTGTTATTATTATTGATATTAATTAATTCCTAATTTTAGTACAATATTATTATGTTGATTTGTGTAGTTTACGGTAGACGTGAACAACACGCCGTTTGATATCGACTTGGTGCTGGAGCTCTACATCGGCAATGTTCCCATCGATGAACCACAACGGCCAGGACCTTCCACATCATACCAGGGTAAACATTTATCCCTCATTATTTTCAATCATAATTGATATTTATTCTAACATTTTGTGTAAACTTATTGTTATTTTTTTTTAAACTAGTACATAATGCATCAATGTTTCGAACAGCCGAGCAGGAAAGCAAAGAGATCCGTGACGAAGAGGACAACGAATTTACCTTCGGCCATCTTCAGTTCACACCTAAGTACCTATACTTCGGTAAAGTCCGGCAGCAGACGGACTTCACCGACATACAACTATTAGATACGAAATGATTGCAGATTGTGTTTTAGGGCAATATAATTGCGTTCACCGATGTGGGTATCCTAGAATTTATAAAAAATTATATCATAACTGGAAAAAAAACTGAAAAAATTGATATATTATGATTTTACTGCAATTTATGCCCAAAAAAATAAAATCGAGTATGAAGGAAGAGAATTTGAAGTTTAATATATCATCGAATGTTGCTTCTTAGCTCAACAGCCGTGATCAAGATCATGAAAACAGTGTGCCCTACTTATACTGTACAACCTATGGGAGGTAGAGCAGTAAAACAGTTCGCAAACTGTATTGAAGATCGCAAGTTTTGTCATTTGTATTTTGAATTCAAAAACAAGAATGACACTAGGGATAATTAATTTTGTGTCTGCCACCTACTGTCGTTATCTGTCATATACCATCCCTAGATCTTTAAGAAGTGTGGCCTATGGAAGTGTTTCCTTAAAAAGTATCCATCATTACTGGACGTGTTCGTTGTATGTTTGTGAATTACGGTATGCCATTTAGGTCTATGCATAAATCTGCATTTTATATGAATCAATTTTCAAATACAGGGATGTAAAAACCCGTTTTGTAGGTAAAATTATACGTGGTAAGACTTAATAGTGATATGCACATTGCACAAAAGCAGCCTTAAATTATAGACATTTTATAATATCTAGCATTACTTTGTGTTTAAGTTGCTATCGCCTAAATTGTCTTTAAATAACCGTCAATTATCAGTTGAATCTGAATTATTTTGCATATTATCTTGAAGCAGTGGAGCGTAAAAAACACGTTTAAAGTCAGGTAGAATTAAGGCGAACCAATTAAAATGTACATCGCTGTAGGCCTGAGACAACTGTACAAGGAGATTGGAAACGCGACCAGGGCTGCCAGATACGACACACACACACACACACGCACGCACATAACACACGCACACGCCATCTCACGGTCAAATTCGGCCAAATTTTTTTTTTCGATATCGGCCAAAACCCGGCCAGATTTTAATCCGATTAAAAGACAACAATTGGTACATAACGTTCATTTAAAATATAAAAATTACACGAAAATCAATTTGAATTTGTTTGAAATTGAAGAAATTAAATTGATATACTAAGAACAATGTTAATCTTTCACTGATTTTGTTTTTATAATTAATCACCAAAATTAAATGCCCAGCTACATCATAATATTAAATATGTTCTGTAAATAGTTGCTAGCATGAAGGCCTATTAAAAGTCACATTATTAAGATCGATCTAAATTTGATTTAAATGTATTAAATAACGTACACTGTAGTCGATCTATAGCAATAATTTTAAGGGCCTGTATGGAATCTTCAATGACAAATCCGTGGCTCCCTTAGAATTACGCCACCCCTGGTTAAGACAAACCTAAGAAACGTTTTATCTATAACATTCTAAATTCGCCTCTGAATGTTATTGTTGCAGTATTTCAAACAATAAATCAATGTCGCTATCAGAACCATCTTCTTGATTCTCATATAACTTAACTCCAGAGTAAGAAGAAGTCTCAGCAACACTTGCTTGAAATTGGAGGTGTCATTGGACCCGAATGATCACATCGAGCATTTATATGGCACTTCACATAAAGAACACTGCAGCGCCTATACAAAATTTATTTTATTTTATTCAATTTCACAACCAAAAGAGCTAGAAACCTCCACTGGGTTGGAACATTAAAGAACACAATATGGTAAAAACTTGCAATAACTGTCTTCATAAAATTTTAAACGAGGATATACTTCATAAAACAAAAATATACATTTCATTCGATCATCTAAATTATTTAATGTAACTGCTAACCTTTTAGATAAACTCTCTCTTACGTCAACTCTTCCCAAAGGGGGGGGGGGGACATACATTAAGTGTTTAGTGCGAGTACGACTACGAATGTTCAATGTAGTAAAGGTACACGATTAGAATAAAAGCGTTTGTACGAAACAACATATTCAAAACAAGTCTAGGTTAGGCCTATATTAGGCCTAGCTATATTGATAAAAATGTAAAGTTTTCACAAAATTCGGCCAAATATAGTTTGGCCGTGACTTTGCAAACGTTACGGCCAGGCAAACTTTTATACGGCCAGATTTGAGGAATCTGGCCCATCAAAAAGGCCAAATGATAGTTTGTGATGTCTTGTGCATGCTTCATTGATATGCAAATAAGGTTCTTCGAACCGCAAGATTGGATTGGATTGGATTTATTCAGTGTAAACACCAAGGATAGCCCACG